TTGAGAGAAGAGCACGTTTCTAAATAATAAGGGCGGTAGAATTGAGAGAAGAGCACATTTCTTCCTGAGTGGTCTTCTTTTTCTTGTTACGCTAGTTGACGGAGTTTGCACCGTAGCAAATTGCGTTGGAAAAGAACTCGCGCCACACGTCAAGAAGCACGGAAGCAAACTTGTTCCAGAGTCTCTTAAAAAAGACAGAGATGGGAGGTCCACCCTGGACGGAGCTATGGTCATAGCAGCAAGCAGTGTTCAAGGTGACACAAGGGCCACAATTTGAACAAGGAAGGGCTGCTTGTTAGGGCTGTTTTTACTTACTTTCAGATTTATTTGTAGGATTTTCAACTGTCTGGCAGGGATTGGAATGTGCAGCTAAATGCATTGTTAACAACGTTTCAGCAGAAACTGTGCAAACGGTCAGATACAAGTAAGTTGATTTGATCATTTTAATGACCACATCTCTTCTCTAGCATTTGTAAAAAATACACAAGTTAAAATGAATATGTAGTTATTTTTATTAAGTATCTGATAAAACTAATTTTCTTTCACCGTTTTTCTTAAATAAGAATAATATCTCATTTTTGGTAAAATTATAGAATACCCATGACTTTGCTTTATATTGCTAGTTGGCGTAAATATTGTTCATCATTATTGCAAAGAATAGATTTCATGCAAAAAAAAAGTCTAGAGTTTCTGTATTGCTGTTGGGTGCTGTGGAGTTGATTCCGACTCATAGTGACTCCGTGTGACAGAGTAGAACTGCCCCATGGGGTTTCCTAGACTAATCTTTATGAGAGCAGATCACCAGGTCTTTCTCCCACAGAGCTGCTGGTGGGTTCGAACCACATACCTTTTGGTTAGCAGTCGAGCACTTCATTGTTGCACCACCAGGCTTCCTCAGCCAAAGAGTACTCGTACCTAATTAGATAGATATATAAATATACAGAAATTTGTCTATCTATCTATGTCTCTCTCTATCTATCTCTCTATCTATCTCTCTCTCTCTATTTATATATATATAGTTGTTGCGGATGCTGTGGAGTTGATTCTGACTCATAGGAACCCATGTGACAGAATAGAAATGCCCATAGGGTTTCCTAGGCTGTAATCTTTATGCGAGCAGATCACCAGGTCTTTCTCCTGCAGAGCCACTGGGTGGGTTTGAACCACTGACCTTTTGGTGCTGAGCGCTTAACCACTGTGTCACCAGGCTCCTTCAGCTCTTGGTTATCCATATTGATTATCCACTCATTGGCAACATTTTCGTTCATGTTTATGTATCAGACACTTGTGTTTAGTGCTGTTTTATGTGTATCTACTGTTACCATTTCCATTTTACAGAAGAGGAGACCAAAACTTACTTAAATATCTTCCTGGAGATTACACGGCTGTTACACTGGGCTGTAAGCTGCGTTTGCATCATCAGAGCCTGTGCCCTGCAGTGTCAGCACAGTGCTGCCTTGGTGGGTGCTCTGTGTAAGCCCTGGACTGCACAGTTGTTTCCCAGCACTCTTCTAACAAGTTGCTGGAGATTCCCTCCCTCCATAGGCAGTCATCTTGGCTTAGGAAAGGCGTCTGCTCAGGCTGGGGGCATGCATCGCTTTGCATCAGAGCAGCATGGCACATCACCTTGGAGTGTCAGTTTTACCAAAAGAGTTGAAACCGAAAACACAGAGTAGACCTGAAATTTCTGGTGGAAATGTAAAATCTAAGACTTCAGCTCACCTCTTGGTACTGGTATTGGCCTCTGACTCTGCCTCATCCACCTTGTTATGCCCCTGAGGCTGCTTTGGTGGATCAGTGATAGGTAGGAAAATAGTTTCTTCTCTTGTAGCAAGAACAGGAGAAAGGCAGAGTGCCTTTTAGGAAAAAGTGTACTGTTTTTAGATTATCAGTGTCATATGTTAGCACACATAATTGGGCAGTCATATTACAAAGTAGGAAATGCTTTGTTGGGTTTGTCCATTTCCTACTTTCATGGGGGAAAAAATGCTTACCTAAGTAAAATTAAGCGTAGAGCCTTATTAAAAGTTTGGGATTCACAAAACCAGTGTTTTTTTTGGCATGAGTTTTAATGGTTTTGAATTTTTGGTCCTTAGTGAGGACAACTTGATATGAATAGGATATTATAACAGTGGTTCTAAACTCGTTTATTTCTATTATGTTTTATATTGCGGTTCTTTTTATTTTTTTCTCCAAAAATTTGTGGAGTGAAAATTACAGATAGCAGGTAAATAAATAGTTAAGTGCTTTTGTATTTTTTATTATAAGGATGCTTCCATCTTGGTAGTATTTTAATTTCTGCTGTTAGAAATTTGGAAAGATGGGAGAGGCAGCAGGGAATTATAAGTGGTTTTGTCCAAGTAATATTGTTCTCTCACCTGTGAGGATATTCGGATCCAGAAGTAGAAGTTGTCTTTTAAGATAGAGGCATTTGCAAATATTGAACCAGTAGTAACTTACTGACAGAACTGAAGGAATGAGAGAGCCAATTGTTCCTTCATTTACTTTGGTTCTCATTTATTTACATAAATATACATTTATTTACATCCTTATTTATTACACTGTCAAAAAGTATTTTATAGGGTAATCAGTCATTTGTGTTTTTCTACTTGCAGTGCAGTGAGTTACTGAATATGGGGGCCCTTCTAGCCATGCATGGTCTTGTGACTCCTACAAAATAACTGGTTGAAACTATGCTAATAAGGTACTTGTGGCCAAGGGGATTGGACAACTAGCTAATAATGCAAATAAGGTGCATGGCACCCTTGTGGGAGTGTGGCCATGCAAAAAGGTGTATGGATCCCTAACGAGGGGATTGGTCAGTTTTGCCATCCTGCTAGGCTTAAAATGGGCCATCCCAGAGGCAGAAAGAGGAGACCGCACTACCATCAAGAAAGAAGAGCCAGGAGTGGAGCATGTCCTTTGGACCTGGAGTCCCTGCCCTGAGAACCCCCTAGACTCAGGAGACGGAGAGCAGTAACACCAGA